CCGCTCTCCGCATCTGTGTCCAGCTGCAAATAGAAGCGTCGACAGCAGGGAGAAGGGAGTGAGAAATGCCATTCATCTCTGTGCAGATCATATTTCATTCTGCATTAGTTTCTATCATCAGCATATCATCCTTCACTCATGCTGCCAACACTATGGTATTTGTCCCTCAAGGTCCCCTCTCCCCAGTGTTAACACCACTGTCTTTAGGGTTGTATTATAGAGTGAAAGCGGGACAAATTCAGGGGGTGAGGGGAACCCCTATCCCAAGGGCCCTGCTCTTGCCAGTCACACTGAAGTCAGCAATAATTGGTAATAATGCCTTCCCTCTACTTCTGCCAAAGCCACCCTGTTATTTAGCTGGGCCAAGTGTGTCTACTGAAAAGGGGAGTCAGGTCAGCAGAACCAACGTTTCCAGTGCCATCAGCACGGTTACATGTTCCTGTAGAACTTAGTAAGGACAGGTATTCGTACTTGCTGTAGGACAAACGAAGGGGTAACCAGGTTTCATGCCTACATGCAAGATATTTGATCTACCTCTCTGCAGCAAAAAGCAGGAATTTAATACATCTTCTGGAGACATGAGGACATTCAATCTGTGGGACTAGAAGAAAGGAGAAGGGCAGGAACGTGAGATAGGTTCTAGTAAGAGCAAGGATTCTCTTCTCATGAGACTCATACCTCAGCGTAAGCAAATTGCTATTCCACCTGCTAATGGATTTATGCAATTGCTGCTGTTTACTTAAAGCAACAGCACACATTCTTGCACTAGAGGAAATCAGTAAAGGTTTTACTCTTACATCCCTTTAGGCAGAATGACTCCTGGAGGGGAGCCTCTCCAAAGGAATATTCCAGCTGGAGTGGGTGAACTACATAAGCAATGAGAACAGACTCCAGAGCCTGTGCTAGTTCTGAATACTTTGTCCAGAATGTCTAGAAATGGAGAAAAATCTGCACATTCATGTACAAGAACTTTGCGCAGTGGAAGTAAGGAGCATATTCAAGGTAAAGCAGAACGTTAACATCCTCAGTAGGAGGTAACACTTAATTATCAGTTGCTTGGTAAAAAGCCTGGACTTCCTACAGTTTTAATTACATTTCCCCAGTGCCATCCTAACCGCCACCTGCCCTAGTGCTCCTGCTCTCCCTCAGTTTCCTCCCTCTGCTTTACTCAGTACACCCTCTGATTGCTT